CGTCTGTGGCCCCGCCCCTCCCCGCCCCTCTGGACCGCCACCTCCTGGAGCCCTTCCGCCCCGCATCCCTGATGCCCGGCGCCCTGGACGCCATGAAGCAGCTGTGTTTGTGCGCAGCCACCTCCCTTGCGGTAGGGCTCGGGGCGTGGGGCTGGGGCGCTAGTCCCTCCTCCCCCTCCCTCCGCCCCGCCCCAGACACAGGAAAGATGCACGCGGGAGGGAATAAGGGTGGTGACAACCTTTGGGGGAAAGATGGGACAGTCGGGAACACTCAAGGACAATTCTGAGGACAGAGTCGGGGACACAGAAGAATGTAGAGGACCTTGGGGGAACAGTTTGGGAAGCCCGTTTTGGAGTTAGATGGGGCCATTTGGGGGAACAATGTCAAGCTATTGGGGAGTCTGGTCCTGGGAAGATATCGTGACATTTGGAGAACAGTTTTTTGTTTTGTTACCGGAGACCGAACTCAGGCACTTGCACTTTCGAGGCAGGTGCTACAACCACTGAGCTAAATCCCAGGCCTGGTTTTTTGGGTTTTTGAGACATAGTCTCACTATTAGTTCAGGCTGGCCTGGAACTCACTGTGTAGCCCAGGCTGGCCTTGAACTCACAGAGAGCCTCCTGCCTCAGCCTCCTCAGTGCTGGGGTTACAGGCGTGTGCACCACACCTGGCTTGGTTTGTTTGGGGGGAGGGTAATTTTGGAGAGCACTGTAGACATTGGAGAAGACATCTGAGCATGTTTTCAGGCTACCATTTGGGTGGACAGGTCTTGAGGTATGAAGGGATAATGGGGAAGGTGCACTTGTGGGACAGAGCAGAGAGGGCTTTGGGAGATAGGACAGGGGGCCTTAGGGTCAGATGAGGAGACTAAAGCGGTTAGAAAAGGTCGTGGGTCAGCCCGCCCGCGTCCACTTCCCTTCACTCTGAGGGACGACTGGGGCTTGGCGTGGGGACACTCAGGACAGAGACATTGAGGCTGAGCAGGCCAAGGCTGGCAGTGGGTTTGGCTTGGGAGACGCTGTCGCTGGCCCCCACCCAGGACCACCTCCCCCTGCAGCTGCGGCTCAGCCCTGCCGACCTCAGCTCCTGCCCGCCCTGCGGCCCTTGCCCCACCCTGAAGCCGGCAGCCAGAGGCAGGCGCCAGGCAAGTGCCCAGGGCGGGCGGCGAGAGCTGGGACCCTCGCCAGGGGACGCAGGGAGGGGACGGAGGCCCACCCGGCCCCACGCGCCTCTGGGTGTGACCCTCAGGGCCAAGACTGGGGCAAAAGCGACAAGCGGCTGCTGCAGGCTGTGGAGAGCGACGACTCGGCCCGGGTCGCCATGCTCATCTCCCGAAAGGGCCTGGTGCCCACCAAGCTGGACCCCGACGGCAAGTCCGCGTGAGTGCCGGTGCCTCCCCAGGGGCAAGGCTGAGGGGAAGCTGCGCGGTGTCGCCTCTGACCTCTGACCTCTGACCCCCAGGTTCCATCTGGCAGCCATGCGGGGTGCGGCCAGCTCTCTGGAGGTGATGCTGGCACAGGGCGCCAATGTCATGAGCACAGACGGGGCAGGTACCGCCAGCCGGGGCCTAGGAGGGAGGTAGAACTCAGAGCAGTGCCCGGCTTCAGACTCCAGCAGGCCTTGCTTCCAGGTCTCAGTGTCCCCTGCAGGCAGAAGGGAGTCCCCTCCACTGCGCAGGGGGAGGCACAGGGGCATTTCAGACTCTGGTGCACAAGGACAGAGTCTCGGCTGGTGCTAGGCAAGGACGGTGCCTGGGGAGTTACTCCCTGGGGAGTAACTGGGACGCAGGCTGCGCTTGAGCAGCTGGGACCAGGAAGTATCTGGGGTTTGGGGAGATTTCTGAGAAAGTGAGGCAGCTAGAGGAAGGTCCGTGGGCCCCTCCCCAGGGTGCCAGAGTTAGGGGAGTATCTGAGGCTCGCAGGAGAAGCTGGGATTTAGGAGTAGCTGGAGCTCTGAGAGTAGCTGGGGTCAGAGAAGAATCTGGGTGGTGCATGGGTTAGTTGAGGACTTGAGAAAATAATAATGTGTGGGGCTTGGGGTCTCTAAGTATGAGGTGTAGACGCAGGAAACTCCATCACAGTTGCCGCAGGTGTGTGAAACAGCTGGGAGCCCTGGAGGATCTGCAGGGAAACTTCTCTCCCTTTCAGGTTACAACGCTCTCCACCTAGCTGCCAAGTATGGGCACCCACAGTGTTTGAAGCAACTGCTACAGGTCATTTACTTGCTTATCTCAGATACTCCCTGCTTCGGCTACTCCGTCAACCTCTACTGTTCGAGTTCCAGCAAGATCCCAAACCTCCAGATATTCCCTGAGTCCCAATATGCCCGTTTTAGTCCTGAGCCCCAGCTACTCCTTAGATTATCAGATACTCCCGAGTGTCCAATTATGTCTCAAACCAAGATACACCTCCCAGAAAGGGCCACGCCTGCCTCAAAGCTCCAAGGTGCTGAGTTCGATCCCCGGCACCAAGAAAAACAAAAAGGACACACTCCCAGTACTAGGCACCCATGAACCCTCGTTCCTCCTCAGACCTCAAGTACTGTTTTAGTCGCGGCCACTCTGAGCCTCCAGCTACTCCCTCTTTCTCACCAACTCTCATGAAAGCTGAGTCACTCGGAGGCCTGTGGCATGGGCTCCCTAAGCCAGGGAGGTCGGGGGTGGGAGGAAAACGGGTCCTAGAGAAATCAGGTAACCCATTCTGCTTCCCAGGCCTCCTGCGTGGTGGATGTGGAGGACAGCAGCGGGTGGACAGCTCTGCACCATGCAGGTGGGTGCGGCCCAGCCCTGTCTGCCCACTGGCTCAGTGGGTGCTGCACCCAGGCTGGGCTCACACTCTCAGTGATCCTCCTGCCTCAGCCTCCCAGAGGGCTGAGATGACAGGAGTGCGCCAATGCACCTGGCCCTGCTGCCTCCTTTTCCTTTACCAAGCACCGGGATGTGTGCCGGACCTAGCTCAGCTTCAATTTGACCAAGCCTCCTCCCTCCCGTAGGCCCGCTGGACAGAAAGACGTTATGTCGCCCCCCACAGTAATTGGGGGATCCCAGCTCGCCTGACCCAGGAGCACCAGCCTGCTGTTTTGCAGGCCTTTCAGAGAATGAGTGTGCAGGGCTAAACACCCTTGAGAAACGCCCGGGGCAGCCCAGCCAGTCAGCCTGCAACTTCAGCATCCCCTCTTCCCCGAGGGAGGGAAGCTCCCACCCACTTGGGCCTGCACCCAGTCCAGGCTCCTTACACGAGCCAGGGAAACACACTCTAGTCGGTTAGCTTGGGGCCTGTCGCGGTGCGCGTCTCGCGTCTCCCGTAGTTGGAGGACGCTGCCACCTAGTGGCGGCACTGCTTCTGGGTAACTCCTCTGGAAACGTTTTTTTCCGGCTCAAGAAAAATTCAGGGCCAGGTGCGGCATGCATGCCTGTCATCCCAGCGCTCTGGGAGGCTGAGGCAGGAGGACGGCGAGTTCAAACCAAAACCTGGGGAACTTAATGAGGTCCAGCCTCAAAAGTAAAAAAGGTGGACATAGCTCAGTGCAGAAAAGGAATCCCATGCTGGATGTGGGCTCCCAGGAAAATGCCTCTGCCTCCTACCGTGCCCTGTCCTCTTCCCAGCGGCTGGTGGCTGTCTCTCCTGCTCTGAGCTGCTGTGCTCCTTCAAGGCGCACCTTAACCCCCGAGATCGGGTGAGTTTCTGGCATCTCTGGGAGGGGAGAGAGACTGCACTTGAGGTAACTGTCTCCGAGTGGCAGCGTCCTGAGGGACCCTGTTGCAGAATGAGGGAGTCTGGGGTGAAGCTCTGGGCGGTCCTGCAGGCTTCCCTACCTCTCTGTCTTCCGTCCCTGTCTGTCACGACACCTCATCCCTCGTTCTGTTTCCCACCAGTCTGGTGCAACGCCCCTCATCCTAGCAGCTCAGATGTGTCACACAGATCTGTGCCGCCTCCTCCTACAGCAGGGGGCTCCTGCTAATGACCAGGACCTGCAGGGCAGGTGAGCTTCTCCCTGGTTCTGTGTTGTGTGACCTTGGGAAGTCTTGAACTCTCTCTGAGCGGGGGATCTGATCGGGTGCTGAGGAGGACGTGCGGGTCCAGGAATATGCTCACCCCCTCACTAGCCCCCTTGCCCGGCAGGACAGCCCTGATGCTGGCCTGTGAGGGGTCCAGCCCCGAAACAGTGGAGGTGCTACTGCAGGGCGGGGCCCAGCCAAGAATCGCGGATGCGCTGGGCCAGGATGCGGCTCACTACGGAGCCCTGGCAGGGGACAAACTCATCCTGCACCTCCTGCAGGAGGCCGCCCGGCGCCCCTCTCCACCCAGCGGTATGCAAGCCCCTCCCCCTGCATCTCCTTCTGGACAGTTTCCCATCATCCCCTTCTTTCCCTATTGGGGATAGTTTCAAAGTACCCCATATCTGCCTGGTTAGAAGCGGTTTCATGGCTCCCTTACTTGAGGCAGTTTCAAGGATCCCCAGAACATTTAGAGTGGTCTGGGGATCCACTCTGATTCTCCGGATCTTCCACATTTTTAGGGCCTTGCCTGTCCTAAAAAGTGGCATCTTGGGCGGGAGATTTGGCTCAGTGGCACAGGGTCTGCCTCGCAAGTGCAAGGTCCTGTGTTCGATCGCCAGTACAAGAAAAAAAAAAGTGGCATCTCTACCCACCCCTCTGGGAAATGCCACTCTGTCTTTGCGAGTTTCAAAGTCCTTCCTGTCATCATTCTGCTGAGATGATCAATTCTGGCCTCGCGAGCCCTGACTTGGGGAATTGAAGAGAACCCCTCCTCCCGGGCCCATGAGTACCCATCTGGGACCTGGGAATGGAGTCCCCGGTTCCAGCGCCTGACCCTGCTCTGCTCTGCTCTGCCTGTAGAAGAGGACTCGGGCGAAGCTTCCTCTCAGGTAGGGACCCTGAGGCGTGCGTGCATGGGCCCTCCCCAGGGCGCAGTTAGAGACCGGGCTGGGCTTGGTCGGTCCCTCCTGGGAGAATCTGTTGGGAGCAGGGTCAGATTCTGGGTACACTGCTGCCCCAGACTCCCCAAGCCAGTGGGAACCGGGACAGAGGGGACTGGGCTGCTGAGGGCTGGTACAGGGAAAGGGACAAAGCTGCCTTCCAGAGCATCTCATCCTCACCCAGAAAAGCAGCCTCTAGATGATCTGGTCCAGCCAGGGGAAGCCCAAGGCAATCGGAAGGGTGTGGAGCAGACAATAAGATTTCGAACTGGGCCTGGCACGGTGGTGCACACCTGTGTTCCCAGCACTCGAGAGGCTGAGGCAGGAGGATGAATGGGAGACGCTGGGTCAAGATAAACAAAATTTTAGGACTTGCAGGGAATGGAATGTTGTCTGTCCCTGTTAAGTGGGGACAGGGGAGAGGCTGGGAGTGTCTGAGTCCACAGGGGAGTCAGGGTGGAGCTGGGGCTGTGGGTGGGTAGTGGGCTGGCTGGGTGGGGTACTGGGGAGGAGGCTGGCCTGGCCCCCCATCTGCCACCTTCCCCTTCTGCCCATCCCAGAACTCTGGGTCCAGCCATGAAAAGCGAGGGGGTCCCAGGAAGCGGAAGGCGCCCCAGCCTCCGGCCAACATCCCCATGCCGGTGAGAGATGCCGGGGCCTAGGGGAGGGTGGCCGGGGAGTCCCCGCTAGGGGTTTGAGCTCTGGCTCAGGTGCCAAGGGGCAGCCTCAGGCCTCATGTAAAGGTGGTGGGTCCCTGCTGGGGAGAGGACAGGACGATCGAGAAGCCTACGAGGAGATCGTGCGGCTGCGGCAGGAGAGGGGCCACCTCCTGCAGAAGATCCGGGGCCTGGAGCAACACAAGGAACGAAGGAAACACGAGGTTAGGAGGTCAGGAGGAGCACTGCGCAAGCCTGGGTGGGGTGCACTCCTGGGGGAGAGTCCCCCTACTTTTCCCGCCCCCCTCCAGCCAGGTGGCCTCCTTCTGGATTCTTCTGCATGGAGCCAGGCTCCTTGCTGCCCCAGGGCCATTGCATGGGCTGCATCCTCACTGCCTGGAATGCTGCTCCCCCAGATGTCTCCACACCTCCTCCTTGACCTCTTGCTCAAAAGGCTCTTTGGTGAAGATAAATATTTATCAGATGAATATTCAAGTGAGGGGGAGTGAATGCATGGCCCCACCTACCTGCCTCACAAGGGCAAGGTCCCGAATTCGATCCCCAGTATCCCCCCAAAATAGGGTTTGGCTACAAATAGGCACCCGGCCAAAACATGCTGAGTGGACAGAGCAGTGTCTGGCACAGTGGGCACTCAGTAAATCCCAGTAATGATGGGTCACAACGGTGCGGGTAGTGCGCGGCAGGTGAGCGGACATCTGTGGGTGGAGCGGGCAGCACCTCGGCAGGTGAGGCCCGCCGGAGGTCCCAGCCCAGGTCCGACCATATGCCTTGGTCTGCATCAGCCGCAGGAGGCGGAGGCCACCTCGGTGCACGGCCTGGAGAGACAGGTAGGCGCGGGCGGTGGGGAGTGGGGCGGCTGCCGGGTATCCCCCAGCCCAGGCGCCAGAGCCGGTCGCCTCCGCCCCCAGGTTCAGGAGCTGCAGCAGCTGCTGGCGGAGAAGCAGGAGGAGAAGGAGAGCCTGGGACGGGAGGTAGAAAGTTTGCAGAGCCGGCTGTCCCTGCTGGAGGTGGGTGCGAGGGCGGGGCGGAGCCAGGGCCTGTGGGCGGGACAGAGCTTTAAACAAGGGCTGGGCCAAAACCAGGGTGAGTGGATCCAGGGCGCGGCCAGAGCCGGGTTTGTGTCAGGAGCCAGGGAGAGGCGGGGTCAGAGTCCGGTGGGGGTGGAGCCAGGTCG